ATCTCTAATAGACCCTTTTATTTGTTTGGTATTAACTCTGCCAAGGCTTTGGGGCAGATTCCGTGCCTCTGTAGAGTTGCAGACATATATTGACATGTGGTGACAGTAGTTTATCCGCATGGCATCTGTTCACCCCAGGGCATAGGTGGGACGCAGGAGATAGGTAACCTCTGGCACAGATGTTCCTGTCCTGGAATGTGGTAGTGGGGAATGTTTCAGGTGCTGAGACCTGTTTCTTTGGGTTTCAGCTTTTGTTGGTGGTGTTACTTTTGTGTCTCATCTCAGCCTATAGTTTATTTTGTGTGTGTATGTCTGTATGGATGCACAGGGGCTTTGTCATTTCCTAGGACCACCCTGCGGGTCTTGCCCCGGGGATCCTACCTCATCACCATTCCTGTACTATGGGCCACGTTCACAGCCTGCACCCTGCTGGCCTCATGAACCTCACCGACCACCTCCACCTCCTGCATTTGGTAAAGTGATCTGAACAGCAGGTCTTGACTTGCAAAGCATATCCATCTTTCTCCACGAGGAAACTTTGGAGAAGATGTAGAATTGGTGCCCTAGGCGTTTGTATTGCAGGGGTTTCCCTGGCTAAAGACATTCCAAGATTCATCAGTTTCTACACTATTATTACATTGTGGGGGTTTGTAATTTTTCCATTTTGATCTGGGTAACAGGTGTCTCTTGTAGAGAGAGAAAGACATTTTACAGAATGTCCTACATAACCTTTTTCAGCCAGGCTATTTCCAGGGACCGCATTTTGGGCTGTTGAGGGATGAAGCATACTGCTCAGTTCATTTTTTTTTTAAACATTTTGTTTATTTCTTTGACAGAGAAATAGAGAGAGAGCACAGGTAGGCAGAGCAGCAGGCAGAGGGAGAGGGAGAAGCAGGCTCTCTGAGGAGCAGGGTGCCTGACGCAGGGCTCAATCCCAGGATCATGACCTGAGTCAAAGGCAGACACTTAGGGGACTGAGCCAACCAGTGCCCCAGCCCAGTTCATTTTTAGCTGGTTGAGCCCGGACTGTTTTTTCCTTAGCTATGAAAACACCCGAAGCAATATGGAGGGCTGTGGGCCCTTCTTTGAGGGGGAAGGACAGGGCTTCCCCTTGTATGCAGGTACCAGCAGAAACATGTGGGAAATGCTCTATGTCTGAGAAGGGACGCGAGAGTGGGAGAGAACGGAATGTGAACGCAGCAGGTTTGGAACGTTGGTTTGAATTCTGCACAGTCAATGCCAGTCTGCATCCACCTCCATCGGTTCTAGGCCTTGGTCTGACGCTGAAGCTGCTGGGGCTCCCATGAGGAACAGGGACACTGAGCCTCACAGAGGTCCAGGGCTGGGCAAGGTACCTCGTTTGGCCTTTTCCAGGTGTTCCGCAAACTTCCCTTACTGAACTGCACCCAGTCCTGGCCTTGTGTCTGTTGGGTGGGGCCTGCAGTTGGTCTGTGGTGTCGTTTCCCTTTCAAAATGCAAGCAGTTCACTCAGGGGCTGACAGGCTTCTCCATTACAGATCATCACCTTCAGTGGCACCCTCCAAAGCCACAGGTGCTTAGAGGTGCAGGATGGCAGGGTGCTCATTGTGGGTGCGTGTGTGTGTGTCTGTTTCCATCCACCCCTGCCCGCCCACAATGCCAATGGAGGGAGTTAACTCGAGGAGGATGACACCTCACTCCAAGGTGAAGTCTCTGGCCGGCCTGACTCCGAGTCAGTAGGTTACGATCAGGTGCGATTGGGGTAGTGTTCATGTTGGGGTTAGATGATTCACCTGTGACAAGGTCTCTGGTAATCCTCACAACTGGAAACTAGGGGAAACGCTTCTCCATTTTATAATGTCTGTTTGGCAGGTTGGAATGTTCTTAGATAGGGCAAGTTTCATAAGTCATCCATGTTTTACTTCTGCTGGTAAAAATGCTGTGCAGAATCCCTCTACTTGTTACCCTTTCTACAACTGTTTTTGAATTTCCAAAGCTGTTGGGTGGACTGGCACACGCGTTCCGAAGGGGGTATGTCAGTGATTAGCTGCGTGACCAGTGCCTCACAAGCCCTTCCGTTGGGCTTCTAGGAGCAGTCATTTTGGTCCTCTGTCACTGTGAGAGCTGGTTTCTTCTGTCATCACACGCTCTGGAGTTGTCCGTCAGAAGGCATATACACTTTTGCGAATTCTCTTATTTAGCCTTCCCATCTTAATTTGCATTGGACAAAATTGATCTGGAACTCAGTGTGCGGAAATTTCCGAAGAGTTTGTTTTAAGATAAACACAGTTGCTGCACGTAAATCAGGTCTATTGTTATCATGTTCCTCTCAGAAAACCCTTTTCCAGGCCCCCTGTCAGACCACAGGCCCCTCATTCCTCCAGGGTCTTTGTGGCCTTGGACAGAAACTGCAGAGAGTAGAAGATCGCTTTGTCCGGAAGTGAGGCAGGTGGGGACAGTCAGGGGCTTGGCAGGCAAAGGATTCAGCTGGAGTGGCTCGGATTCCTTGTGGAGAAAGGGCATTCAGTTTCATCACATTCTGTAACTTCTTAACAAACCCAAATCTACGGTGGTTGAAGAGGAACGATCAAGTGTTGCCCAGGATGTCGATGCCTCCGTGTCTGGAGTATGCTGCTTTACTCGTATCCAATGATCCCTTTTCACCTTTTAAGACACTACTTCTTGGTAGTGAACATTGGCAGACGGGTAGTGATGTTTGGTGACAGTAGGTTATTCCTGTAACATCTATTCCTCTGCTCCCTGCCTTATTATAGTTGGTACCAACTGAGAGGGATAAAGTTTTCTAGCACGATGGGGCTCTTCTGGAACGTGGTATTGCAGAAGGAGCCCAATGCTGAGAGCTTGCTCTTTGGGTTTCATCTCTTGGTGTTGCAACTTTTGGCTGTCTCAGCCGAATATTTTGTCCTCTGTTCTGCAGGTCGGTACGGATGTGAGAGGGTTTCCTCGTGCTCCAAGGCCCCCCCATATGTCCTACCACATGGGGCGGTGTTTACCAGGCTTCACTGGCTATGGGCTACCTCAGCCTCCTCCACATGGGCGGAGTGGGGGGCCTCACCCACAGCTCATTCCTCCAACACGTGGTAAGATGATCTGAATTGGCTGACATGAGTCACAAAGTATATTCCTAGTTTAAGTACTTCTGTCAGTGGAGAAGATGTAGAGGAGGTACCACAAGGCTTTGGGATGCAAGGATAGACCTGAGTGAGGACATACTAACATTCCTCAGCTTTCTGTGGACGTCCATTTCATGGACTGTCTTGTTTCATCCTACAGAACTGGGCACCCGGTGTCTGCCATGGAGACGAAAAGTGACATTTTGCAAGGGACAAACCTGAAAGCATTGCCCAGGTGCATAGCACAGACACAATGGTTTGGGCTCTGGGATGGATGGAGTGCAACCTTCCCTTCACTGTTTTTCTAGAGGCCTCAGTTGTCCAGTGTTATTGAATAGTTATGAAACCATCAGTCCCTGGGTGGAGTGGTCAAATCCTCAGGGGTGAGGGATTGGACTTCTCCTTTGTCCACAGGGGTAAGAGGAGACCTGTGAGAAACTCTGCATCTGGATGAGACGTGGGAGTGGGAGAGAGTGGAATAGGGTGGGGCAGGTGTAGACCGTTGGCTTACATCCTGCATGGTCAAGGCCAGTCTGAATCCACCTCCATCCCTTCTAGGGCTTCAGTCATATTCAGAAACCTGTGGCGCTCAAGGGGACAACAGCGGCACCCCGCCCAGAAAGGTCCCGCAGAAGGACCAGTAAATACTGTGGCTGTTTGTAGTTGTAATCATTTCTGGAATCCTGTTCCTGTCTGGGCCGCACCCTGTCCTGAACTTGTATCTGTTGGGTTTGTCCTAGGATCTGTGTGTGGTGTCATGTAGCTTTCAAAATGCTAAGTCTTCATTCAGAGCCTACAGGCTTCTCTGTTTCCAGATCATCACCTTAGGGTTGTGTCGGTGGAAGAAACACAGAATTTTGCTGAAGCCTTGACATTACAAGGGGAATCCTGGCTAGGCACGTTTTAACATCCTGAAGATTCTCAGGACATACATGTGTTCTGGTGGCTATTTCCATGCAAGGAGCAGTGGGGGAGGTGCCGTTGTTGCAAAGGAAGTGTCTTTCTTACCCAATGGAGACATATATTTCTTACCATCGTGCACGTCCAGTGTCCACTTTTGTTGTCTGAGAGGGATGATACACACCTCTCACTTTGTTTGCAGCGTGTTGAGTTTGAGCTGTCATTTCATTAGTTATATAAACACCCGAAGCAGGGCTATTGTCCCTTGATTAATCGTTAGGGTAAGGGTCTGTTCCTTGTCCTCGCCAGTCAGTGGATACTTGTGGGAAACCCTCTTGTCCGGAAAGGGTGATGAGAATGACAAACAGTGGCAGATGCTCTAGGCAGGTGTAGACGGTGTGTTGGAATGTTGCTGAGTCACTTCCAATAGGATGGTCTTCTGTCTTTGCTCTGACGCGGGTCAGATACAGACGCTGGGGCATCCTCCATAAGGAATAGCAGTCCTGCATGCAGGCCTCTTATGTTATGGGAGAGTGAACATGATAACATTCTTCAGGTTGCTCAGGAGATACATTTGATGCGCTTTGTCTTTTACTCATACTGAGGTGGTTGGCAGTTCCCGTTGTGGTGAAGGAGAGCCCCTCTTCTCTGAAAGCTGGGCATAGCGGGTATGTGCACGCACACTCTACAGAGACAATATTCCATGCTCCGGGAAGGATGACGCCTACTCTTTTTTTTCTTAATTTTGTATTGTTATGTTAATCACCATACATGACATCAGTAGTTTTGGATATAATGTTCCATTGTTCATTGTTTGTGCATAATACCCAGTGCTCCACTCAGGACGTGCCCTGCTTAATACCCATCACCAGGCTAACGCATCCCTCCACCACCCTCCCCTCTAGAACCCTCAGTTTGTTTCTCAGGGTCCGTCGGGGATGACTCCTACTCTGAAGGTTATAAATTTAACGTGTCTGAGAACAGGGAGGGACACATGCGTTAAACAACATAGATGTTGTGTTCCGTAAAAGGGAAGCACCAGCGATGGATCTGAAGGACAAGAGAGGGAGCCATGAGTCACTAGAAACAGGAGGTTGTGGATGAGAAGGATGGAGGTGCTCAGGGGAGTGGATGGGACTCTCTCGGGTAGAGCGTGGGCTGTTCCTGGCAGGCGAGGAGCCTGAGCAGTGAGTGTGAGGACACCGTGAGATCCACACCGAGTTGCTTCCTGTGTCCGTCACACAGTGTGGATAATGCAGTTATTTGTACTAGAACGTCACTGTTGCCATAAAGCTGTTCCTTCATATTCTATAAAGATTGTAGTTTCCGCTGGATTTCTGAAGGTTCTGAACTGGGTGACAGAATGTGGTGGAGATTTGGGAAATTTAACTTGGTTCCTTTGGGGATTCTCGTCTGCCTGAGTTTGTGGGCCCCAGTGAGAAAAAGTGAAGACGGGACCGAGATCAGCAGAGTGGCTGCCTTGGCCTTCAGCCTGAGCCAGAATCTTCGTGGGGAATTCAGGATTGACCAGGATCCACCCTAGCTGGATCCCTGTCACTACGCCTCTGCCTCTGAGTCACCACTCTGGCTGCACTTTTCATCTCCCTGAACGTCGTCACAGCATCTTGTGGATTTACACGTGTGCCTGATTTCTCAGCCCAGATGCCAGCTCCCAGTGGGGTCTACTTAGAGCCTCAGCTTTGTTATCTGTGAAAGGGGAGTATATTGGTTTCTGAGGGGATTAGAAGAATAGGAGTTGAAGTACATGAAGAATCTGCAGGGGCCCCTGGATGGCTCAGTGGGTTAAGGATCAGACTCTTGATTTCTGCTCAGGTCATGATCTCAAGGTTCTGAGATCGAGCCCCAAGTCTTGCTCGGCGTTGAGTGTGGAGCCTACCTAGGATTTTCTCTCTCCCGCCACCCTCCCCGTTCGTGCAGAACTTTGCCCTTTCTCTGTCTCTGTCTCCTTGTCGGAAAAAAAGAAAAAGAATATGTAAAACATCTGGGCTGTTGGCCATGCCCCCTTCTCACTGTTTAAATGAAAATAGCTCCATGCAGATGAGTATGAAAAGATATTCACTTCAGTACACACCATTACACTGAGAGTATAACACCTCAGCCCAGAGTTTGCCAATCCTGATTTCAAAAATAAGGCAAAGACCCCTCTTTATTTTCTAAAAAGTTTTAGGCCCTAGCTAAGAATGAAGTAAAAGATCATTAGAAGAACCTGTACATTCAGAGATCTATACCTGGGATGTGAAGACAATTGTTTTCTATTACATATAGACTAGTGGAGGCAGCCACACACTCAGGTGTCCATTCAAGGTCTCAAATAGAGTATAGGAAGCAAATGCATTTAGGAAAACAGAAGGTCACGGTGTACTAACCCAAATCTATTTGCCTTACAGGACACTACATTTGAAATTTGAAGACCTCCCTGAGCAATTACAACCAGGCTGTGTGTGTATAAATTTAGAAAATTGTCAGATCAGCCTAATGTCCTGAATGCTGTCCCTGCCCATCCTGTCCCCTGTGCTCTGTCTCTCCTGGTATCCCCCAAATAAACCTTTCACAGTTCTGTCTCTGCATCAGCGTCTGCCTTCAGGAGGCCCTACACTCACTTCCCTTCGAGTGCACAGTGTGAATCCCGTACCCAGAACACACTGGCAGCAATGGTGGTGATGGAGGACAGTAGCAGGATTCCCCGTTGTCGTATCTTTCCTGCACGGGGCGTAAGAAATCCTCTGGGGAGGCGGACACATCTTATATTTAGGTCTGTTGGTGGTTGTATTAACTCAGGTGATAGATCCTCTTGAGCACATGGCACCTGCTAGTTTAGGGTGTGTGTGTCGATCGGCAGGACAGGGGTCTGTCCCCAGGCAGCGGTCTGTTGTGATGGTGAGGAATGAATGAATCATCCCTAGTGGCCCTGAGAGACTGGTGAGGAGGCTCTGCATTAATGCATATTTTGTGCACTGGTTTCACGTTACCAGCTGCCCCCCAACCGCAGGTGGGCTCTGAGTGGGGGCTGAATGTGGCAGTTTTCTTGGTAAGACCCATGATGCCCCTAATCCTCCCCAGTGTCCTTGTTCGGGGATGGGCAGGGCAGAGGCCAATGACAGGAGACCCATTCCTCCCTCACCACACAGGAGGATTTGCGTGTATGCCTCTGTCACTTTTTAGGTTGTTTACTCCAATCCATTCTGCACCAGAGCTCCTGGATCTTGCAAAGCCCTCCTTCTTCCCAGGTTGTGGAAGCAGCCATTCTCCAGTATCTTTGGGGTCATGGCGGGGCCACTAAGGTGTCCAGGGTTTCTGTCCAGAAGTGGCTGGTTACTGCACTGCTGCAGTCAAGTTCAGCCTGAGGAGGCTTGTTAAATCAGATTGTCATACCCTGTGAGCAGGGTCTGGGCCAAATGATGGCAGCAGAGAGGGGCAGACAGGAGAGGTGGTTCCCTGTGGTCATGGACAGGGCTGCACAGAGCAGAAGGCCTGAGGGCCTGGGGAGAGATAGGGAAAGAGACTGTCAGGGAGAGAGACACTGAATGAGTGGTGGGGGGATTGGGCAAGACCTAGAAAGTGAGAGGAACAAAGAGAGAGATGCGATAGAGAGAAGCAGAGACCAAGAGTAATTTCAAGGATGAAAAGAGGTTGCTGGTCTAGGTGTTGGAGGTGGACCATACACCAGGGTGGAGGAAGTCGATGTAGGCGATCCGAATGTTGGGACCAGAGAAGGTGGGAAAGTAGGCGATCAGATTTCCCTGAGAGCAAAGCTCCAGCCTCCCTAGGGCTGAGCTTTGTAGAGGCCATTTCACTTGGGAAGATGGGCACATCCTTTTGCTTGGGGTGTGGGGCCAAGCCTCAGGATCTGTCATGGAGAGAGAGGGCTTGGCTGGACCTGAGCATGCTCTGTCCCTCCAGCTGAGGGGCCATGGTTTTGAGCATTCTAGGGATTCCCAGGGCAGCCAGCAGAGGGCACCTGCGCACCTCCAACCCGGAGGGGGAGGTGTCTTTGCTCGTGCTGACCCAGGGTATCTCAGAGCAGGAAGGACTTCTGTAGCAGCC